ACATGAAAGTTGCTCAGAACGACGAGACGAATCCGGATACACGGTCCGTTCGTCCGCCACACACCCCTAACCTATCGAACCCGCAACTTTCCCCCTTCGGCTCCTCTGCCCGAAAACACGAAACACCGGGAATACTTTCCCGGGGGTTTTCCCCCCTTCACCGGTATCACCTACTACCGCGTTAGGGCACACCGAACACCGCGTATTGCCTTGATATATTTTGTGGTGCTTTGTTTGCTCTGTATTCATTATTTCTTCCCCCTCTTCTCTCCGGTAGACTACGAGACCGACGCTGCTGCTGACCAGTTCGACTACGGAGTTGACGACCCCTCTCTCTTGCCAGAGCAACCAGGCAAGCCCCCCCCCCCTTTGATCACCAGATATCGCCTACTCTTCTCTATACTGCTTGCATTAGAGTAGTGTAGCTTGTTACTGCTTTCCGTTAATCCTATTCTGATGCATAGCCTGTCATTGCTGCTACAGTCATTGATACCTTACCCGCAATCCTAAATGCTTAGTATAGGATGCTAGTGTTCCATCAGTGGCCCTACACTCTTGTCCGTCTGCCATGCTATACTATTGGGCTGTGATCACTTCGGGAGGTGATCACGGGCATATACTATATACTTTACACTGTTACATTACCTGTGATACTGTTCGGAGTTGGGGGCTGAAAGGACAGGTGGCTCCATCCCGGTAGAGGTGGGCCTGGGTTCCCGACGGTCCCCGACGGTTACTTTGTGGCGGAGCGACAGGGCAGGTTGAGACCACCTAGGAGAGAGGTGGGCCTGGCCCTGTTCGGCGTTCGCGGATACTTAACACGCTTAACGAGATCTTGGTATTTGATCTGAGTCGGCTACGAGCCTATACGCACTAACCCTCTACGTGGGAGTAGTTATGGGTATCCCGACGTCGTGGTATCAGCCGAAGCACTTCAGACGTCAGTGACGGAGCGGCGCGCGCCGAATTGGACTGGAACGCCACTAGGCTAGGTCTGCTTTCGGCCGCCCACGCAACGTGCAGGTGTGCTCAGGGCGATGGGCCCAGACCCCTGCGCGCTTAGGTTTAGACCGGCGTGCTGGCCTCTTTGTTTTGTCTAGGTGGGGCTGCGACGTGTTGATCTTCCGCGGCCGGGCATGACCCAGGAAAGTGTGTCCGGCCAAATGGGATCGAGTGTGTTGGGTTATGTGGTGCACCCCTGCAGGGAAGTTAATCTATTCGAATAGCCGTGATCTTCGGTAACAGGACGACTTGAAGTTGTACCTTGACCTTATGACAACTAGAACCGGATACTTAATAAAACACACCCTTCCAAGTTCCACAGACAACCCGGTGATCGCTTTTCTACAGGGCGACGAGGAGAGGATCGCCGGGTAGGATTATGCTATGCGTTGCTACTTGAAGATGCTATCTGGAGATGCTACTTGGAGATGCTATTTGGAGATGCTACTTGGAGATGCTACTTGGAGGACTTCAGTCTACTCTCTTCTACATGCTGCAAGACGGAGGCTGCCAGAAGCGTAGTCTTCGATAGGACTAGCTATCCCCCTCTTATTCTGGCATTCTGCAGTTCAGTCCACTGATATGGCCTTCTTACACATATACCCATGCATATGTAGTATAGTTTCTTGCTTGCGAGTACTTTGGATGAGTACTCACGGTTGCTTTCTCCCCCCCTTTTTCCCCCTTTCCTTTCTTCCTGGTTGTCGCAACCAGATGCTGGAGCCCTGGAGCCAGACGCCACCGTCGACGACGACTACTACACTGGAGGTGCCTACTACTACGTGCAGCCCGTTGACGACGACCAAGAGTAGTTAGGAGGATCCCAGGCAGGAGGCCTGCGCCTCTTTCGATCTGTATCCATGTTTGTGCTAGCCTTCTTAAGGCAAACTTGTTTAACTTATGTCTGTATTCAGATATTGTTGCTTCCGCTGACTCGTCTATGATCGAGCACTTGTATTCGAGCCCTCGAGGCCCCTGGCTTGTATTATGATGCTTGTATGACTTATTTTATTTGTAGAGTTGTGTTGTGATATCTTCCCGTGAGTCCCTGATCTTGATCGTACACATTTGCGTGCATGATTAGTGTACGATTGAATCGGGGCGTCACACACGTCGGCTGTGGTGAGGCGCTGCACGTGCGAGGCGGGAGGAAGGCGCGGGGGATCCGCCGCAGTGCCGCGGACAAGAGCCGCAGGGGATTCGCCGGGGCGTGGGCGGAGCTGGCGCGGGGCGACCCGATGGCCGAGCGCCGGAGCGGCACAGGCGGACGGGGACCTCGATGGGCGGCGCGCGCGAGCGGAGGAGCGAGAGCAGGCACGAGGCCACTGCAGGAAGGCGGAGGCGCATGTCGACTGTGGTGCAGTGGTAGGGAAAAGCAGCAGCGGCAGGGCTACAGCGGAGAGCAGCGGCAAGCAGCGCCGGCGACATGGGCTGCGGCAGCCACGGGGAACCGCGAAGGGCGGCTGGCCGGAGCGAGGCAGCGCAGGGGGGAGGGTGGAGCATCGGCTCCGTCGCCGAGCTCGAGCACGCCGGTGCCCAAGGGGATGCAGACCTTGGGGCGCACCGGTGCCGGAATGGTGATGGGGGCCTCTGCCAGAATCGGGATGGGGGCGGTCGTGGGACGTGTGTGTGACCGTGGTCGGGATGGGCCTGGGAAGCGGGGAAAAAGTTTAGGAGGTTTTTCGTATTAAAGCTAAACAGTTATGCCACGTAGGCGGAAAACAGATTCCATCTGTCATAAACGCATTTAAATGAGCCATATGTGCCGATCAGTGTTTTTTGCAAAAACATTACTGAAGACATGGTGTTTTTTGCAAAAAAATGTATTGCCTTTTGAAATGGTGGTTTTGTGCAATTTACTCGGACAGGGAGGTCCGGCGGCGCCCGCCATCCTCTCCGACACCTCTGTTGCCAACGATGACCACGGCTCCTCCTCGGACGACCCGCCACCAGTCGCCGATGCCTACAGCTGCGCCGACGACCGAAAGGGCAAAGGCCCGGCGAGGAAATGGTGAATCTCCGCCGTCTACGTCTTCAACTTCAAGTTTCTAGTAATCTAGTTTAAATTGGTCTGTTGTTTATGTGAATTTTGTGAACTGTCGATCTTTCGGACATCCGTCGGTGATCTTTTGGTCATTGAATGTGCATTCCTCTGTTCGATTCTATGTTTGCGTGATGATCTACGTTCTGCTTATCTATGTTGCATGCTAGTATGGATTTGAGGGACCGAATATAAGACACATGAATGTGAACAACAGGATTTGAGAAGTGCCTGATGAATGGACGCGTCTGTGAGCGTTTGAGGGTACGGATTTGCAGGTCGCGGCAGTAGATGCTCTCACACTGCATCTGGTTTGTGGTTCGGGCTCCCTCAAAATGGTGGTTCTGGTTCGAACCAAACGGCGTGCAGCGGCGCAGCTTGCAGCGACCATAACTCCGCTGAGCCTATGCACTGGTGGTAGTACGGTGCAGCTCTGTGTACTGCCACTACTATTGACGCTGCCAGTGCCCCAACCTCCCCCTGATCGTCTCTCACACGTCCACCGCTCCTTCAATGCGCATCTCGCGGCCTCGCCGACCCGTCGCTCTCCTCCGAGGCCTCGTCGCTCGATCATCTCGTCCCGTCCCTCCCCTACTTAATGGCGACCCCGGGTAGCCCACATGGTACCATACCACACCATTGACGCGGCAAGTCGGCAGAAACTCATCAAAAGCGCACAAGCTCGAGCCAGAACACGAGCCCACGATGGCCGGCATTCGCCGCGCCCCCGCGCTCCTCCTGCTGCTCGCCCTCGCGTGCACCCCCGCCCTGGCCGCGCGCGACGTCTCCAGCAGCGCCGCCAAGGCGAAGACCAAGTACCCCTCGGGCCCGGCGCCCGGCAAGAAGCCGGCCAAGCCGTACGTGCCACCAGCCACCAAGCCCCCCGGGTCGGGCGCCGTCGACGGAGGCGGGATGCCCGCCATCCCCGGCTTCGGCACCATCCCCGGGTTCACCGTGCCCGGGATGGGGGGCGGGTGGGGCGGGGGCTACGGCGGGCCCGACGGCGGGTACTCGCGCGGCGGCGTGGCGGCCTCCACCACCGTCTGCTCCGAGAAGGGCCCCTGCTACAAGAAGAAGCTGACGTGCCCCAAGAAGTGCTTCTCCTCCTACAGCGGCGCCGGCAAGGGGTACGGCGGCGGCGGCGGCGGGGGCGGCTGCACCGTCGACTGCAAGACCAAGTGCATCGCCTACTGCTGAGTGCTGATCGATCGTACGTACGTACGGGGAGCTCGGCGGCTCCTTGGCTTCCATGGTCATCGATGGCGCCGGTGAGCACCACATTATACGTAGCTATCTTGCGTGATACGCAGAGGAGGCGCATACGGCTGTATGTTTCCTCCCCGATGTCGTTCTAGTCGGCTGTAATATCGTCGCCTCATGGGTGTCAGAATTGCTATGAACTATGAAGTGTATGAGCAAATAAACATAGAGATATTACTCTTGGGTCTTGCTGTTTCTTCAAATGCAGTACATTTCACAAGATTATGAGCGAGTGGGGTGTTTTGGTGACCGGGCTCCATGGAGCTCGATTTTTTCTGAAAATTTCAGAATTCAAACTTCTGGTTTTAAATGTGAAAAAGTATGCAAGTATACAAGTATGCAAGTATGTCACATTTAAATGTTACTACAAAGGAAAAATGTGAAAAGTATGCAAGTATGCAAGAGGGAATTTCTATGTTTTTTTCCTCTGAAACTGGGTTTAATAAAGAATAAAAAATCTCTATTTTTCCTTTGCCCGTTCCTTTGAACCAAACACATGAAAAATACCACTATAGAAAATTTTCTATTACTAAGGTTCTTAGCCTCATTCTTCTTGCATAGCAATTTGAAAAAGATGTCAATTAGATGTTAGAAATCCTACGTTTTTCCTTTGAAACTGGGTTCAAAGAATAAAAAATCTCTATTTTTTTTCTTTGCCCGTTCGTTTAAACCAAACACATGAAAAATACCACTATAGAATTTTTTCTATTACTACAATTTTTCTCTACTTTTTCTTTGAACCAAAGGAGCCCTTAACTAGAAGGTTTCTTTTACTTGTCCGTACAATTTGTTTGTGTGTGTTGCACAATCCCCTCTTGTAGCATGGCCCAACACCAGATCAACTTGAATTCGTACCTTTTTCTGTTGATAAACTTGAACTGGTACTTGAAATGGAGGGGTCTCTATGCTGTCGGCCGGAGGAAAGATGGTGCCTTTGGGGTGGATGGTTCGTCATTGCCTTATTAGCGATGATGGGGCACCACAAGATGAATCCATCGTCGACAAGTCAGATGCTTTGAGTTTTCACAATGCCCCAAAATGTTAGAGATGAAATTAGCGATGTCAGGATTTCTAACATTATCGAAGTTCTTTGGACATTTGCAAGCTCATAGATAGTGTGATGTATACATGTGGTTGATATATTGTAATGACCAGGGGTGTCTAGTGTGGGCGGCGAAAACGGCCGCAAATATTTTGGCTCGCCCTCGCATTGGCGCGGCCAGCCTAGGCAGAATCCAGAAAGGCTCTACGTGCAACATCGCTTGCTCGCCGTGCCATGGACTTGTGCAAGTCAAAGGCGGCGACATATTTTTCTTGGGCCTATTCGTAAAGGGATGTTTTGGTAAAACAAATTTGTTTTATATAAAATGACTTCCTGGTCTAAAAATGTAAATAGGAGAAAATGTGAAAGAGGAAGAAAGGGGGTAGGCGCTAACCACGCCACCTATGAACACAATTTCCACATGCCACACTCTGGGCACCTAACTAGATTCTCTATCTGCAAGGAGAGGACGACTGCTTCATCTCGCTAATGAAAAGTATAATTAATAAAGTCTAGCTAATGATGTCGGGAATAATCACGCGCGTGCTGGAAGCAAAGCATCTGCCATCATTGGGATTCAGAAGAAACAGAGAATTCCATAGCAAACTAGTTCACCTACTATTCATGAGAATATATACTCCCTCTGTGGCATATTAGCTTTTTCTCGAGCCAAACTTTCTAAACTTTGATCAAGTTAACATTAAAAAAAATTAACATCCACAGTACGAATCAATACCATTAGAACCATCATTCCATATATTTTCATCCCATGTATATCTTTTATTACGAAAGTTGAGATTGTTTTTGATAAAACTTGGTTAAACTTCATAAAATTTGACTTAGGTCAAACTAATATGCAGAATAAATAAAATAGTTTGTCTAATTCACATCTAGATGTTTTTTAAGGATGTCACATCTAACCTCCCACAAATATATAATGAAGCAATAAGAAACAAAAAAAACTAAGACAAAAAAAATAGATCACAAACAAAGTGAAAATCAGCTTAGATGTGACATAACTATGTCACATCTAGATGTGTCCTAGACAGACCCTAAATAAAAACGAAGAAAAGGACTTAAGTTTATTTTGACAACCACCCAATAAACCCCCAAAGAACTGGACCTTAACATACATGAAGTAAAGCACTGTCATGTGTCATCCATTCCCATGGAAGAAACAGAGAATTGCAGAGCAAACTAATAATTCATTTATTATATTCATAAAAAGAACTATACTCAATTACGTACACGAGCGAAAGCACTGTCATGTGTCATCATCCCTCGAAAGGAAATAACGAGGAGGGAAGAAGCGATGGAACTGTGGCATGTAGCTCGATTTTACAAGTGCCGAGTGGCGGCGAGCGGCGACCGTAGCACAACTCTCCTACAGCAGAGCGCCATGGTGGGCGTCCATGCCGGCCGGCATGGACGCGGGGCTGAGCAGCGGCGCGGAGAACCACGACGAGTAGTCGAACTGCTCCACGGGGGCGGCCTCCCTGCGCCCGTGCGCCGCGGCCGCATGACCCGGCGCCTTCCTCGCTCCCACGGCCGGCGAGCCGGTCGTGGCCGTGCCGGCGCCGGTGAGCCTCTGCACGAGCTCCCGGAAGTCCCGGGGCTCCACCCGGTACACCCTGGGCGGCGGCGGGGCGCCGGCGCCGCGCCACGGCTTGGCCGGCGCCCTCTGCACCGCCCTCAGCGCCGCCTCGTGCCTCCCCTCGCCGTGCTCCATCGGCCGTTCCTCTTCTTCCTAGTCGTCGTCGTCGGTGCGAGCGAGCGAGCTTGATCGGCCAGCGCTGTCAGACAAGGAGACACGGCGGGCGCGCGCGCTGCATATGTAGGCAGGCGCGCGCTCTGGTCTGGTCAGAGCTGAATGGGACTTGGCGGCCGGGTGGGCTGGCTGGCCGGGTGCAGCGCACGGGCGAATGGTAGGAACACGTGGAAAAGGGCGGTCAATGGGTGGTGGAACGGGGCCGGCCGGTCGTGCCGTGCGCGCCTGCCTAGCCGATCGAGCCGCGACGACACGTATGCCATCACGTATGCAGACTTGGGATCGGCGGATTGGTTGTTGGATTCTTTAACTATGTAGCTCGTGTGGATGTGACCGTGTGATTCGGGGTTTTTTCTTCGGGTCCTTTTATATCGGTTGTTGAAATTCATGTCACGCTGCGTAGCCGGCAGGGGGTAGCTCGATGTTTTTCTTTCTCTTTTAACACTAGTACAAAAACACCTCTGACAGACTGATCCGGCATAACATTTTGAGATTTTATGAAGTCATGATAGACGCCTTATAGTGGACTGTAACGTCTCCTCCCACTAAATGTGCATTGCCGGAAATCCTAAGATGAATGCAGTATAAATACGAGCACCAGGACTTGCTAAACTAATTGTTGTTGGTTGTGCCACTTTCTTTTTCTTTGTGAAAAGAATCAGATCTATTATAAGGATTAACCGGAAGTACAAAGGCCTCAAACATAATAAAAATGACATCGGGGTCTTCTATACGACCCTCCTAATTGCAAGTTGCTTCGAGCAAATGATTAGCATGTGAATAAGGCTTAGGAACTAAACCCCCTTGAATGTGTGGTTTGTCATAGTTAATTTTTTTATGTTTAATCAATTGTACAACCTTATCTATTATGCGCATTTTTAGGGAGAAAAGAATGTTTGCATCTATATCATGTTCCTAAAAACGCACACGAAATAGTACGTGATTGACATATATACATATGGCCTTATATCTTTGGTGGATGGTTGTTGGATTCTTTAACTATAATTGCCATGACCGTATGACATGCTTTGGGACTTTTTCTTTAGGTCCTTTTATATAAGTTGTCGAATGTATGTCACTCCGCGTAGCCGTCAAGAGGTAGGTTGATGCTACAAGTATAATTGTTATTGGAAGTGAGTTAGTGACACGGCTAAGTAATAACAACTAACTGCTATAAGACCGCTCCCAACCTAAAGTTTTTTTTCTGAGAGAATGCAATGGGAGGACCTTGTGTGATAATGAGAAGGCTTGGAAACAAAACTCATTAATGCACATGTGTATATTTTATTACAAGTTGAATTATCAATTTAATCAGTTGCGGGATCTTATGCAATTATGCGCTTACAAGGATGAGCAGAGCTACACATGATTGAAATATACACAAAGCCTTGTAGATGCCTTCGCTCTTCTGACAATGCCAAAATCATCTCTCTCACTCCTCCTTAATAATATGTCACATCAACTCTTTGCTTATGTGGCATGGCTTAGCACTTGCATTAATAGAGCATTGGTTTGTTACAAAATACTCAAAAATGTTTCACATACCTATACGTTTGTTTCAGTGGGCATGATTAGTTCATAGCCAATAAAGAAACTACGTTTTTGAATAATACTTTGTTCGTTCTTAGTTATATATCATGAGCACTAATCTTTTCATTTTCTCCTTTTCCCATTAGCAATCATGATGTATTCCATGAACACTATAGTTTTGTTTTACTTAGCCTAAATCTGTGTGCCACTAGCAACTGAGCTTTTCTTTCACTAGTGGTTGTGATGGCCTGTGGACACTATTTTCTTCCACTAGTGTTGGTTATTCGCTTCCTTGACTAGGCGATCTATTTCACACCTCTCTTGTTCTCCCATGGATCAGTCGTGAGGCGCCAATGACAAGACAAGAATTGTAGTCCAAATTCGAGGTGGTAAGATGAGATTACCATGTCTCCTCTCTTTTGTGCATATCCTATCTAGCCTAGTAGACTACTACGACAATGCCTTTTGCCCTAGTCTTCTATTTGCTTATTCCTTTTATTTTGACTAATAGGCTATGGAACAATAGTTGACAAAGAGAAATCGGTGACCAACGCCAGATAATGATGCAGGCACTTCAAGTCCACTCGTAAGACATAGGCAAAATGCATCGTTGATGCAAGCAGTGGTGAAGCTTCAAAGAAAAAGTTGGGCGGGCCAGACTAAAGATCACAATTTTTTTAGGCATTTGTGAATACTCAATAGCTTTTGTTCTCATTGAATTTCCTACAATCAATTTGTGAACACTCAATAGCTTTTTTTAGGCATTTAGAAAAAATGACCGGCGACACGGTGCTCAGCGTCGGCAGCAGTCTCACAGTACTGGTTGGTAGCGAGCAGGTTGCAGTGGTCAGCGGAGGCAGGGGTCAGAGGCATTTGGGCGGCACAACGACAGGATCCCGATGGCTGGGGCCAGACTAGCAAGTGCGGAGGATGGAGTCCGGAGGGGAGGGAGGATGGCACCACGACGAGGTCACGTGGAGGCGGAGGAGCCATAGAGCAAGCAGCAGGAAGCATGCGTTTAGCAGTGAGGAGATCATCCTATCTATGAGGTCGAGGCTGGTGGGGGCCGGTTGTCGACACGAGTCCTGGCAGGTTGGCGGCCTTTGCTCGTGTTGTGTGCGCACATAACATGGCGGCTTGGATTGGATAGATTGATCGATCGTAACAGTTACGAAGCATCACGTATAGGTATAAAAAATGTCTGAAAAACCTGGGCGGGCCATGGGCCGGTTTTAGCCCCAACAAAGCTCCGCCCCTAGATGCAAGCAATCTCCCAAAGCCTTCTATTTAGGGAGAAATTATTTCAGATGAGTTGTGTTATGATCTGACTGGTCAAAAGAGAATTTCATAGTATACAAGAAGTCCTAATAAACAACCTAAGATTAAGCAAAGATACTTAAACATATGGGACCTATACATGCCACCGCTTAACATTGATTATCCAAAGAGGGGAATTGGAGTCGCTCAATGAATATTCAATCCAGAATCGTTCAGTGAATATGGTGGCTTGACTATAGTGACAAGGTGCATACAGATTATTTTTTATGTTGCTACCTTTTCAGAGACTATAACGAGGGAAAAAGCTTAGAGTGATGCATTTGCACTTAAGGGTTGCTACGGTTAGTACAAGAAAAGCACACTAGATACCCATGTGTAAGGGTAATGTTAATAGTTTCATAATGTAGCAGCAAAAGGATGTGATGCTTTGATGAATCATGATCATTCAACTCAAGTTGCTCTCCATAATAAAACTGATCATACATGCTTAATGCTTCAACTGGTTCAGTTAGATATTTGCAACACCAAGTATTAGCTTTCCCGAGGTCATGACCAATCAAAAGAGTCAGAAAAATAAGGGAAAGTTTTGAGTTGACACATACATTAGAAAATCAAAATGATTGTATACGGAAGGTAGTTTGGAGGACTACTAGGAAATACCTTATAGGTAGAATCTTAGTAGTAGCGTGGGTTATCTACCCCGCGCTACTGATAATTAGTAGTAGCGCGGGATATAAACCCACATTGCTACTAAGTTGATAGGAGTAGCGTTGGGTATAAATCCCATGCTACTACTAAGTGATTCCCATTGTAC